CGCCTCCACGGCTGAAAGGGCGAGCATGTTTGGTGTGACGGGGATTTGAACCCGCGACCCGCAGATTGCGAGTCGAGTGTCTTAACCACCTGGCCATGCCGGGGCCTCGCTCGTTACAAAATATATTCAGTAATTCATTAAGTTGCGCTTGTTCTATCAGCATTAGGTTTGCACAAAACTGATAACCCCGAAAAAAGAACTATCACTGTGATCTACCTATGATTCATTTTATCACTAAGTACGATAGTGCTTACTATGTAGGGATGGGTCGAGAAACAAAATGGCTGCCGTATTTAATTTCTTACTCCACGATGCTAAAGTTGAGTTATAGCCTTATTTAAACACTTAATTGCCATTATCGAGTGTTTTACATCTTGTGAGACTCCTAATATCATTGAAAAGTGTTGTTATAGTGGAGAACTTGGAACCAAGAGCCAAAGTGTTCATCTTTCTTCTCCCACGCTAGCCATAAAATGTGAAGTTTTCACAATGACTTTAGTACGACAGAAAAACATGTTCAGAGCACTTGGGAACAGGATATCACTAAGCACAATAGTGCTTAGTATAAGGTAAAAATATTATAATTATAGTGTAAGCGATGTTATCATTACCCCTTGAAGTTAGCTTTCTTACAGAAATCTAGTGTTCCTTTAAAAAGCTTAAGTACAGGGTGAAACAAGAATTATCAACCAATAATAGATGCACATTAGATGACTGTAACGTGTAAATACTAAATGCTTTGTACATTATACAATTTGTGTCTTTAGGGAGCCAACCCTTATATTATGTATGAAGTGAAGAAGTAAAAAAAAATCAATACACATGATATTAAATTAATAAAGTAATAAAAAAACATTTAGTAAATGTAAAATGATGTAGGGATGGCAGTGCCAAAAAGAATACAAACATGATTATAAGCTATACATTTTTATATGTTCTTTCCTTACCGTAGGACCTCCCAGTGGCACAGCGGTATGTCTGAGGACTTACAATGCTAGAAACAGGGTTTCGATACCCGTGGTGGGCAGAGCACAGATATCTCATTGTGTAGCTTTGTGCCTAACTATAAACAACCAAACCTTACCGTAGGTTCCTCAACATTAAGTTCCAAGAAGTCAAGATTGTGATCAGTGATGATTAATAATCTATTGTAGTCAATTATATGATATAATATCAATATCTGAGGTCATTCTACAAGTGAAATTAAGAATTATTTTTTTTGTGCACAAATCAAGTATGATGTGGTGATCGCAATGCCAAAAAGTACAGAAACAAGATAGGGATAAATACGCAAAACCTTACAAAAATCCCAACATAAGTAGTCAAAATTTTTCACGAATAACTTTTATCTACAACTAAAGGTTGAATTCCTGTCAGCTGCATTAATTCAGGTTTGGATAAAAGCATTTGAACTGAATAGTGCTATACAGTGGCTAATAACAATAAGCTCGTAAGATTGACTCATTACTTACTGGTTATTTATGTAGGGATTTTTGTATGTTTTTTTTTATTCTTCCCTACCTTGTTTCTGTAATTTTTGATATTGCCATCCGTACATCATAGTCGATTTTAGAATTTTTTTATTTATTTTTTACTTGTAGTTATAATGTAGAATCAGTTCTGTTTTAACTGACGACCCACAGATCTACCCATCTGGACCTATGATGGCTCCAGTACGTATCAAGCCAAAGGACTAAACTCGGACATCAGCCTTCATCCAGTGGCCATCTACAGGGATCCTTTCCGCGGAGGGAACAGCAAGCTCGTGCTGTGTGAGACGTACAAGTACAACCAAGAGCCCACAGAAAGCAACCACAGAAAATCCTGCGTAGAAGTGATGGAGAAAGTAAAGGATCAGCATCCTTGGTTTGGTATTGAACAAGAGTATGCCATCCTCGATACTGATAAACATCCCTTTGGTTGGCCCAAAAACGGTTTTCCCGGACCTCAAGGTACATACACTTGTAACTCACATATCTCGAGCGGTTTATATCGTTTGATAGAAACAGGAAAAATATTGTTTTTTAAAATAAAGATATGATTCGTCTGTTTGGTTCTTCTTGAGCACAGCACAAAGATACACAAAAGGTTATCTGTGCAGTGCCCACCGTAAGTATCGAAACTCAATTTTTAGTGTTATAAGCCTACAGACTTACCACTGAGCTACTGGGAGGTAAGATTTTATCCAGGAGCGAAATTCTAAAGAAAAAAAAAAGAAAAAAGTGGAGGTACTCAGCTGGGTGAAGTGGACCTGTTTTTGAAAAAGAAAAAAAAATTACGTGCAAACATAAAAAAAAACGACAAAGCAGCTCGAATAAGTCCTGGTACTAGTACCGCCTTAAAAAATAAGTTCCAATACTGAGAACCGGGAAAATTTTATCCCTCATTTTATGTAATTAAAAATCATTAAAACTTTCTGTAATTAATTATTTACTGAATTTTTTAAATTATTGTTACTTGTTGACTTAAATCAAACTGGTCACAGAAAAAGTTGGTTACGTTATTAGATATTTAAAAAATAATATGTGATTCCTGATATAAATATATATATATATATTAGAATTTCTTGATAATGCATTGTTCCAAGTTTGCTCGTTAGGAGGCAGTGTTATATTCTTTTAATTAAGACCATCTATACACGACTCTGGTTTTGATTGACTATGCTTAGCTTTTTTCCCCCAACACAAAAAATCTCGCCCCCAGTGGCATGTCTGCGGACTTATACTAATAGAAACCGGATTTCGATACCCCTGGTGGGCAGAGCACAGATATGCCCTTTGTGTAACTTTTTGCTTAATAACAAAAATCAAACAAAAGATATCTAGGCCTAGAAAATAAAACGAACTTGTGGAATGTTAAATTTTATCAATCAATTGTCGAAAAGAACTTGGCTTAGAAATTCATACAACATATATATTAACATATTCTAAGGAAAACTTTACGTAAGTAGAAGATACTTCGTCATGTGTGATATTGGTCCAGCGTTCTACTTCAAGTATTATTTAGGTTTAGTGAATCACTAATTAATCACTGTTTTTATAACACTTTTATGGTGTGATCGCCTTTTCTAAACTGGCGAAGCGTGATTATAATTAATGATAGTTGACATAAGACATTAATATTGGCCTATTATATTTTTTAACATTGCTTTCTTTATCTAGTTCATTAGGCATTTTTAAGAATTAGAAGATCATATGATAATAAGATTCCAACCACACTATGTTCGCTATATCCATTGTCGACGACGCGTTTCGCTCAATTCACAGATCATAAGAATTATGGGATACGTTGCTATGAACGTAAGCTTTATATTCCCAATTTACACACGCAGTTAAGTTATCAAATGAAGTGTAAAAAAACAACAACCAGAAGGGTTTATTGAAATTTCTTACTTATGCTGATTTGCAGGTCCTTATTACTGTGGTGTAGGATCGGATAAAGTCTATGGGAGAGACGTGGTTGAATCGCATTATCGTTCGTGTCTTTATGCTGGAATTACGATCGCAGGGTCAAATAGCGAAAACATGCCAGCTCAGGTATACGTAGCTCCCAGTTTCACGTCTTTATTGTTCATTTGTGATAAATAATAGTTATAAACTTCAATTACTCCAAGTGTAATTATTATTTGGATATTTTTAAATATTGTATATATATCCTACAATTCCTGTTATTATATACAAATATTAATCACTATTTTTTTTCAAATTTTTAATACATACTGGATGGATTTAGACATTTTGACAATAAAGTTGAAAAAAAAAAAGGACCTTTACTTTCCGGACAGGCCCGGCATGGTCCAGGTGGTTAGGGC